TCAGCAGCAGCTAGCAGGATTGTTGGCAGAGGGTGGGGGGTGAAGAACAGGTGACCTTCCACAACAGATAGAAACTTCTGGAGTATGTGGGGAAGGTAATGGGGGGTGGGAGGAAAAAATTCAATGCTTTCCAGCAGTTGAAAGGGAGCACAGCTGATATGAGAGATGGAATCCCTGTTTAAGGTATAGGGACAACACCCTGGTAGGAATCTCAGCAACTTCCCCCTTCTAAGCCTTTAGGGGCTGCAGAGAAAATGGGCTTGGCTTCTCACCAGGGCTTTTGCTAGTAGGCTCCCTGATAATTGTTCATATGAATATCTGGTTAATAGGTTTAGTCCTGCCCAGTAGGCGGTGGGGAAAATCTTTCAAGCGCTGTGACCTTAGTTAATAACACTTGTACTGCCAAAACGTCACATCAGGCTAACTCCACTTAAATATGGTTTTAGGTGGCTATTGTTCAAACTTAATTCAGAAACAATGTTGTGGGGTAGGTATAGCTTACTGCTGGGGGAATTCTGTGCCAACGCGCACATGCAGAAAACGTGCCCCCCACAGATTTCTTTGCTTCCCTGCAGAACGTGATGGGGAAGTGTGACGTTATTGACATAAACTGGGACCATATAGATCATTGTTGCAACCAAGGTCCTGTAGTGGCACCCAAATCTTGTATAAAGGGGGTCAAATGGGGTGTCTAAGACAAGGTTATGGTTTACTGGTTATGATTATGCTGTCTATATGTGTGTATCAGTTTTGTAGTTGAAGTTATGAATATTGGCTCTATACTGTCTGTATGGCAAATTTATGCTATGCTTCTGGGTGACATCCCAGACAAGCTGGGATTAGCTCTGCCTAGCCTGCTTGATGGCCCATTAAGGACCATCAGCTATACAATGAACCCATTGAGAGAAGGCAAATATGCCTTCAGACTCAGCAAAGTATGCAGGGACTGGCCCATGTGACTCCAGGCTCCATGTTGCTGTAATTTTCCACAGTAAGAACAAAGGGTATGTCTACACTACAGGATTAATCCGAATTTAGATAATTCGAATTTGGGAAACAGGTTGTATAAATTCGATTGTGCGCGGCCACACTAAGCACCTTAATTCGGTTTTAAACCACATTAATTCGGTGGTGTGCGGCCACACTACCCCATTAACTTAAACACAGTAATTCGGTGGTGTGCGTCCACACTAACCCTAATTCGAATTAACAAAATCGATTTAGGCTCTACTCCGTTCGTCGAGGTGGAGTACAGAAATCGATTTAAAGGGCCCTTTAATTCGAATTAACTGGCTCTGTAGTGTGGACGGGTGAAGGGTTAATTCGGATTAAGGCAGCTAAATCCGAATTAAAGTCCTAGTGTAGACCAGGCCAAAGAGGTGTTCTTACACCTGGAAAAGACTGTATAAGGCTGATGCCTCATCTCCATTTTGTCTTCAATCCTGCTTCTTACCTCTGGAAGGACTTTGCTACAAGGTGAAGCTTTGAACAAAGGACTGAATGACCCATCCCAGCGGGGGATGTACTCCAGAGACTTGATTTGAACCTGCAGTTTATTCTATCACTGCTACAAGCCTGAACCAAGAATTTTGCCATTACTATATGTAATTGATTCCATGTAACCAATTCTAACTCTCATCTCTATCTTTTTTCTTTTATCAATAAACCTTTAGATTTTAGATTCTAAAGGATTGGCAACAGCGTGATTTGTGGGTAAGATCTGATTTGTATATTGACCTGGGTCTGGGGCTTGATCCTTTGGGATCGAGAGAACCTTTTTTCTTTTATTGGGGTATTGGTTTTCATAACCATTTGTCCCCATAATGAGTGGCACTGGTGGTGATACTGGGAAACTGGAGTGTCTAAGGAAATTGCTTGTGAGACTTGTGGTTAGCCAGTGGGGTGAGACCGAAGTCCTCTTAGTCTGGCTGGTTTGGTTTGCCTTAGAGGTGGAAAAACCCCAGTCTTGGGCTGTAACTGCCCTGTTTAAGCAATTTGTCCTGAGTTGGTAGTCTGTTGGGTCCCGCCAGAACCGCATCGTCACAGGAAGTAAAGGAAAGTATGAGTCAACAGTGTGCCCTTGTTGCCAAGAAGGCTAACGGCATTTGGGGCTGTTTAAGTAGGGGCATTGCCAGCAGATTGAGGGACGTGATCATTCCCCTCTATTCGACATTGGTGAGGCCTCATCTGGAGTAGTGTGTCCAGTTTTGGGCCCCACACTACAAGAAGGATGTGGAAAATTGGAAAGAGTCCAGCGGAGGGCAACAAAAATGATTAGGGGGCTGGAGCACATGACTTAGGAGGAGAGGCTGAGAGAACTGGGTTGTTTAGTCTGCAGAAGAGAAGAATGAGGGGGGATTTGATAGCTGCTTTCAACTACCTGAAAGGGGGGTTCCAAAGAGGATGGATCTATACTGTTCTCAGTGGTAGCTGATGACAGAACAAGGAGTAATGGTCTCAAGTTGCAGTGGGGGAGGTTTAGGTTGGATATTAGGAAAAACTTTTTCACTAGGAGGGTGGTGAATCACTGGAATGGGTTACCTAGGAAAGTGGTGGAATCTCCTTCCTTAGAGGTTTTTAAGGTCAGGCTTGACAAAGCCCTGTCTGGGATGATTTAGTTGGGGATTGGTCCTGCTTTGAGCAGGGAGTTGGACTAGATGACCTCCTGAGGTCCCTTCCAACCCTGATATTCTATGATTCTGTGAAAGCTGGGGAAGGTGGGGGAGGAGGCTGGGGATGCCTATGGGCATAGTGGGGGGAGAAGTATTGTCCACCAAACAGAGGCAGACCGTGGGGCGGCTGGGAGGGGGCGGACGTACATCCGTTCATGTGCCACTTCTCCTGTCCCCCTCCCCCCATTTCTGCACATGCAGAGCTGCCCGGCTCAAAGAGTGTGCCGCTCTGCTCCACAGCTGGATGTCTCCTCCTGGGTCCTTGTGCTAGTTGTGCACCCCTTCAGTAAGCCCGGAGCCATCCTGTTTTCTGTACAGCAGTGAGTGCCTGCAGTGGGGCAGGGTAAAGGGGGGGAGGGGAGAAGCAGTGGGGAAGGAAGGTGGGGTGGGATGGGGAGAGGATGGGACTGTGGAGAAGGGGGATAGGATGGGAAAGAGAAGGGGATAGGGGAATTGGGGGTGAGGGAGGGAGCAGGAGTCTGGCTTGCAGCATCCCCTGTGCAGCAGCTGCAGTTGGAACTCCCCCGTTAAGCAGGCCCATCAAACCTCCACCCTGATGAGCCCCACCTCCCCTTCATATGGACCACCCCGCTGAGCCCCAACCATCTTCACCTGGACCCTCTGCAGAGTCCCATTGCCCCTGCACCTGGAACCTCCCAATGAGACCCTGTGCATCCAGATCTCCCACTGAGCCGCTCGCACCCAGATTGCCCACACAGAACTCTTATCCCACACCTGGATCCACCCACACCAAGCCCCTCTACACTTAGATCCTGCTGGGTTGAGCCTGCCTGCCCACGCCTGGTGTGTCTAGCACAGAGGGGCAGGGCCCTGGGGTGTTTCTGGGGCAGGCCCAGCCCTTGCGCTGTGTCAGGGTTGGGTACAGCCTTGCTGCTGAGTCCCTGTCCCAGGGGCTGAGGGCTGCAGGGTGATCTCCCACCTTCATGCTGCCAGTGGCCTGTGCTCCCCATTGCCATGCTGGAGCTACCACATTTATTTATTGACCAATAAAATTTGAAGAATTTTAAAATATTGTGCAGAGAATTTTTATTTTTTTGGCACAGAATTCCCTCAGGAGTAGTATAGCTAGGGCCCTGTACTGTGGCACACTGGACCTAAATTCTGTGGCAACATCTGACTTCTGCAGCTTATCAGCACTTAATTCTGTGTCATGTTGAAAGTCCTGGTCCGATTTCAAGTAACGTAAGAGGTGCTTATTAAATTAAATATGAAACAAAATAATAGTCTTTAAAGTATTCCTTGTATTGTGTATTTGAATAATGAATTGAATATGAATTTCAAATCTGGAATGTGTTTCATCTTCAGCTGCTCTTAAACTTTCAATTTTCATTGTGCTATAGAATTTTGTATTGACGCTAATCTATTGAAATTGGACTGGGGAAGAAGCTTGAGGTAGCTGGGTAGAAGGATACTGAGGCATTTGATGCCCAGAAAAATATGTGGGGGGGTGTTTTGAGGTTTTAGCTTTCAGGTTCAATTTAATGCCTCTTTTGGGGAGGTAGATGCAATTTAGATGAATAGACTTTTTTCTGCAAAATCAGGAAGGCTATTCTGTATCAGTTTGTTTTAGAGGTTTTTCTTCATAACTATAAGCTTTAGAAAGTTATATTGTTATGCAAGATTAGATGTGAAACACAATCCTACAGCAGAGGTGAGGGTTACTGCATCATCCAGTTCTACAACTGTAGAGAAAACAGGGTTCCATATATACACTGCGAAAATTGGCTCTATTCATGGTAAACCTGATTGATCTGAAGCGGACTGGAAGAGTGACTTTTACTTTTACCCAAGTCCAAAGCTATCTATGTTGGTTTTGTTTTTGATGCAGTAGCAGGAAGGAGAGAGAATCAGAAGAGATGATGTGGCTGTTCTTTGCAGTAGGCGCTACTTTTTATGCCTACTTACCAGAGGAATTAGTGGTTTAGAGTTCCTTTTTGTTTGTTTTCTATTATAAGCTTAGTTTATCCTTTCCTCTTTAAATTTTGCTGACTTACTAGTGTTAAGTTGTTGAGGCTTGCTTTGACTTTTGTCAGGTTTGTGCCAAATTTTGATCATAAATCAAGAAAGCAAATGAGGTTGATCAAAGGAAGGAAAAATAAAAACTTGTCACCTGAACATACAGTAGTCTAGGCCAATATGTACAAAACCCATGTACAACTGCTAGGGTTTTTTTAGTAGTATGGTATTTTATTTATCTTGTAGAGATAGGTGGAAATAAAGAAATGGCTCCAGGAAGGTGGGGGAAATGCATCTGAATAATGTGGGAGTCTTCTGACTGTATTCCAAATTATTTTGTTTTAACTGTAGGTTATTGGTACACCTCAGAGACCTTCAGCGCCAAATACTATCCTGGTAGGAAGTCCACATACACCCAATTCACACTTTGTATCACAGAACCAGACTGCAGACTCTTCGCCTTGGTCTGCTGGGTGAGCAAAATTCTGTTAAGTTACAAGGGTTTAATAGAATTGTTTGGAAATTTTGTCCTAAAGTGTGTTTTTTTTTTTCTATTGATGTGCTCTGTAAGTACGCTGATATGAAGGAGGGGTTCAGCTTAGATTTAATTTAAGAGATATCTAAGTTTGTTTAATACCTATAGTAGAGAGATAATAAGAACACCTTTTCACTTCAGTGTAGCAAAAGTCAGATTTCTGAGGAAACAAACGGACACGTAGTGTTCTGCTGTCATATTTACACTAAGATAGTGGCTCGTAAAAGAACAAGCGAATTCAACTGAGATTTTTCATCCTCTTGTACTGTCAGATAAAATATAAATGCAATATATTGTTTCAAACCAAATATGCATAATTCTGCAGACAATTTTAAATGAGAAGAATAAGATCGTAGCTCAACTTGAAGAAAGTGTCACTTCCAGATTTAACATAAACTTGCTTTGGGGGTTTATTACACACAAGATTGTTTTGAAGGACCCATTGATGAATATAGTTGCTTTAAAGTTAACATTTATTGGTGTGTCTGTTGTTTTTTTGGGCTAGGAAATATTTATATTAGGGGATTATGGAGTTGTATTGTTCCTAAAGTATTTAAGCACCCATATATGCAGAAATTGAAAGCTATTCCATTTGCTGACTTTCATATTTACATTTTATTGTAACAAAATATTTCTTAGTTACCCAGACAATTTTTCATTTGAAATGTATGCTGAGAACTTAACTATCATATTCTTCTAAATGCTTATGCAATAATACTGAAAGTGCTGTAGGAAGCATCTACTCTAGGTTTGAAGCGTTCATAGTAAAGCTGTATTCCATGACCATTCAAATCCATATTTTGGTTATTCTGTAATGTTGAATACAATATTAGATTTTGAGTCTAACATACTTGACTATTTTATCTTTCCTGAGTGTCAAATTATATATGCTCTAGGAAAAATAAATTTTAGCTCCTGTAGTTCTCAGGGTTTCTAGTTTTAGCCCTTCCTTCCCCCTCCCCCCCGCAACTTGAAGATGTTAATGTTAATTGGAATGTTTTTTCTTTACTGTCCTTTTCAGAAGAAACTTCTTTACCACTAATTTTTACATCTTCTAAATGTAATCATCCAAATTCATCTCTGGTACTGAAACTAGCAGAGTTACAGCAGGGATGAATTTAGCTCAATGTGTTTCATATTCAAGATAATACCAAGAATTAGTTGTAAATTTAATCAAATCCATGATTCAGGCAAATAACTTTGATTGTCCTGTTTTAGGAGTATCATGCCCTCTTTGCTGATTAAAAATTGTAAGGGTTATATTTCAGAGCAATATGTGTTTATCTGGCAAACCAGAAAACTTTGGAATATTGATCGGTTACTTTAAAATGTATTGTTCTAGGAAGCGCAACAAAAAAGGAGAGAAGAATGGCAAGGGTTTGCGACACTTCTCTATGAAGGTTTGTGAGAAGGTACAGAGAAAAGGAACCACCTCATACAATGAGGTGGCGGATGAGTTGGTTGCAGAGTTTAGTACCACGGATAATCACATTTCACCAAATGAATCAGTAAGTATGTTGCTGGGTTACATGCCACTTGAGTGGGGAAAAGATGTAACTTTTTTGTTTTTCCTAATGCTAAATGAAACAGTTGAGATACTAGCTGAGTTTACCCATCTACTGTAATACATTTTCAAACGTTTTTGACACAGGTATGTTTTTGATTAATTCATTGTGTCTACAGCAGGCTTATGACCAGAAGAATATTAGACGACGTGTCTATGATGCCTTAAATGTCCTTATGGCTATGAACATTATCTCTAAGGAGAAGAAGGAAATCAAATGGATTGGTCTACCTACTAACTCGGCTCAGGAATGTCAGAATTTAGAGGTATACATGTGGGAAATTCAGTAGTTGGTATTTTTGTTTGGATAAATCTAAACGATTTTTAATGTTATCTAATCCTACCTGAATATGGTCTTCTGAGCTAGCAATACAGAATCATTGGGTGTCTGAATCCCTTTGGACAAGTGTGGCTTGGAGATCGCAATATCAGGATGTTCAATCCACTTTACCTCCCTCCCTCTACCCCATCCCCGCTTCCCTTCTCTCTTTGAGACTCTCCTCACAAGCACCTGCTAAGGCAGGATGGTGACTTTCTTCTGACCATAGGAACTATAGAACCAGTTCCTGTTCAGCACAGAGGGAAGGGGTTCTATTAAGGTACAGTAACTCCTCACTTAATGTCGTCCCGTTTAACATTTCGTTGTCACGTTGCTGATCAGTTAGAGAACATGCTCATTCAAAATTGCGCAGTTCTCCCTTATAACATTGTTTGGCAGCCGCCTGCTTTGTCCGCTGCTTGCGGAAAGAGCAGCCCATTGGAGCTAGCTGGTGGGGGCTTGGAACCAGGGTGGTCCAGCAGCCCCGCATCAGCTCACCACTCCCCTATATTCCCTTTATGGCAACCGCCAAGCAGGCTATCAATCAGGGTGGATTTGATTTAAATCAAATTGATTTAAATCACTAGTCAGGAAGACTCAATTTAATCATGGATTTCTACATAAAAGTGCATTCTTGTTGGTTGTTATAACCTTAATACATATTCTTCACAACTCAGAGATATATGTAGATTTCATTTTTAGAAGGTACACACTATCCATTTTTAAAGAGATTTATTTTGAAAACTTTTCAGATTAGTTTTACAGCTATATCAGAAAATGAATGATTGTTGGGTTATTTCATTTACCAAAGGTAATTGAAGCAGATATTTATGAAGTCATTGGGAGGTGATCTCCAATTCAACAGAGGCTAATCATTAATATTAGGAGGATTTTTTTGTCATTCTGTATTAGGAGGAGAACATCACCAGACAGACATTTAAATTGTTTTATTTAATTAAAACAACAATGTTACGTTTTCTGGATTTTTTCTTTAACAACTACCACATAATATTTTAACAAAACACAAATATGAATTTTTGAATTTAGTTAAACATTCACATTTTTAAAATCAGGTTTGTTTTTGTTTAAATTGTTTTAACTAAAATAGTTAAATGAAATATTAACAAAAAAAATTTTAATCGACTGTCAGCCAGGTCAACATGAGAACCTTAAAATATTGGCTTCTGCAGCTAACTCAGTCGTCTTCACCTTCATTTTCCTGTTTGTTCATAATCTGGAAAAGAAAAACAAGCTTTCCTGCTTTTTCAGGTCCCAAACGATTTCTCAATTTGGAATGAATTAGTCCAAAGGAAGAAAATATTCTTTCTAAATCGACAGAAGAAGCTACTGCTGTTAAAAGTGAGATTATCACTTCAACAGTCTCTGAATCCAAGTGCTTACGTGACTTTCACCAGTTCACTGGCGTGACTTTCTTTAAAACATCATCGGCAAACATATATTTCTTGAATGGTTCACCCTTAGCTCTGAAGTTTATTATAGTTGGCATTATGGAGGGATGATTGCTGGATGTCCATGTCATCGCCAGCCCCTCTTCTTCAGCAGTTAAGGTTTGACCCTGGTACCAAGTATTGAGAATATTTGCAAGAAAATGACCTGGAGATAGTGCTTGTCCCACTCATTTTTTTTAATGCTTGTAATTTAACTCTGTCATTGCATACTTCTCTTTTTAAGATCTCACTCAATTCCTTCCAGATTTCAACAGCGTCAGCAATAAAACAGCTATGTCCCTGCATTTTGTTCAAGGCTTCAGGGTACTCAGCGTGTGTTCAACATTTCTCTTAAGCCCAATGTTGAGAATTTTGGCTGTGATAGTGCCATCTATTTTTTTCACAATTTTGTTCACAAATGGTCATCTGGTTAGGCCAGTTCTTGATATAGTGCTCAAAACAGTCCATTACTAAGTTCCATCGCACATCTTGTGGGAGGGTTAGCTTGGTTCCTCCCACTTTTTTCAGAGCAACTGCTGCAAAGTGGTTGTTATAGAAGTATTTTGCAATTTCAATAACATTAGCCTTTATTTCTGGAACACTGAAGTCTTTGGCTAGGAGGTGCATCAAATGAGCACTGCAACAGTATGTTATTAGCTTGGGACTCTCTTCTAAATAATTTCTTCTCATCTTGGATACATTTGCAGCACTGTCTGGGATCTAGCTGCGTACTAGACATTTGAATTTTTTTCACAGTTTGTTATAGCTTTTACTGATACTTCTTGTAAGTATTCTGCTGTGTGTGCATTTCCTGATGTATCAATTGTTTCTGTAAGGAAGACATTCCTTTCTTCTCTTGTCACACAAGCACATACAACAGGATCATTGTGGACATTGCTCCACCCATCATTACTCAGGTCAATAATTTTACCCTTTAGACCTTTTGCACACTGCTCAATTTCTCTTTCATACACTTTATCCAGGAATTTGCCTGTGATATCTGCTCTGTTGTGTGGACTGTATCCTGGTCTTAATGACTGAACCATGTTAATGAAGTGTGGTTTCCCAATCACACGGAAAGGTGAGTTTGTTGCATAAACAAACCGGGCAATTTTTTCATCAATTACCTCTTTTTGTAATCAGCTTGTTCTTATCACAAACTTATCTATGGTTGTTTCTGGATGATGGAGATTTTTTTTCTTTTTGCTACTGGTGATATACTGTGGCTATGTGATATACATGATGTGACTGAAACACTATCATTGGCATATTACTCTGAAACTATAGAAAATGATAGTGATCTTGAAGGTGGATAGTCTTCAGAATCCTGTATGTTGAGGATAGATTCTCCTAAACAAAATAAGTCAATGCAGTTATTTAATTATTATTACCATACTGCTCCTTTAGTATTACTCATTGCATTCACTGACACTCAGTACTACTTGAAAGGTGAAATTGTAAAAGGAAGATCTGCTTATTTCGGCTATTTATTTTTTATCACAACTGCATCTAAAATGATAATTGTTACTCTATGGTACTGTATTTTTCTCCAACATGGGAATTCAAGAATAGTCCAGAAGGAAGACAGGCAATCCTTTTAAGAAAGAAGTATGAAATAAAAAAGTTTACCAACCTGAAGATGTTCAGACATGTTCCTTTCATCATCATCATCATCATCAAAGCAACTTCCTCCTGAGAAGGAACACTTCTCATGATGTTGTTTCATTCGGGCAACCAGGCCTTGCATTTCTTTGTTGCACTGTTTACATTTTGCACACGTGCCTGTCTTACCCACAGGTAGAGGAACTTCATTAAAATATTCCCAAACTGGGTCTCTTTTAGAGCCTGCTGCCATTATAGGTTTTCCCTTCTAGTGAGAGAATGGTATGGTAGATCTCAAATCAATGAAGGCTACACTCAGAAAGACCTCAAGACTTCTGGAATATGCTGCTCAAACAGTTACAATTTTGTTTCTACTGCCTGTCCCTCCCTTTTCACATTTATCTCCAGACTTCTTCTCCTTGTCCAGATCTATTGTGTCCCCAACAACCTTCTATTCATTGAAATTTTTGAAACTGCATGTGTCCTCCTGCCCCTCGCTGCTTTACCCCATCTCCACAGAGTGGGGGGTGGTGGGGGGGGCGGGAGGACACACAAAAGGGCTCAGGACAGAGGGAGCTTGCTGGCAGCAACTGCTGTCTCTACTTACTTAAAAAGGCAATGTTCTTAGAGTGGGATCAGTGTACTTAAAGGGCCAATGTGCATCTCTCTCTCTCTCTCTTTCTTTCTCACACAGACACAGTGTGTGTCTCTGTCTCTCTCTGCCATGCTGTCTCCCCTCCCTCCATTCCTGCTGCCTTTTAGAGTGTGAGACTACATTAACACCAGTGTGTTAACCTTTGAGGGCTCAGCCGAGTGCTAGTTCCTCATTTTGCAGCAAGGCATTCGCTGGGAAATCCCCCACCTCAACCAAGCTTCTCAGTCATCATTGCTGTGTACAGTATTAAATTGTTTGTTAAAATTGTGTGTGTGTGTGTGTGTGTAAGTCTTTTGTCTGGAGAAAAAAATTTCCCTGGAACCTAACCCCCACTATTTACATTAATTCTTATGGGGAAATTGGATTCGCTTTACATTGTTTCACTTAAAGTAGCATTTTTCAGGAATATAACTACAACATTAAGCGAGGAGTTACTGTACTTCCTGGTCCCGAAAAGCAATGGAGGGTTGAGACCCATTCTAGATCTAAGGATCCTCAACAAATTTTGAAGGTAAAAAAATTCAAAGGGTTTTCAGCCCTCGACATACAAGATATTTATTTCCATATAGTGTTCTATTCTTCCCATAGGAGATTTCTTCGCTTTGCCTTAGGCTAAGAATATTTTCAATACAGGGTTCTCCCATTCAGTCTCTCCTCTGCTCCCAGTGTGTTCTCAAAAGTTCCGGCAATGGTCATGCCTATCTGCAGAGAAGCAATAGTAATATTTTGGTATCTTGATGATTGTCTGCTGAAGGGTCGATCTTATGATGAGACCTTGTTAGCCACTCAGAAGGCCATAGCACTGTTCCTCAAGCTAGGACTTCAGTTAAATATCCAGTAGTCTACTTTAACCTGTGTAATTACTAGAATTCATAGGGGCATCCGCAGATACAGTAACTGCCAAAGCCTACCTTCCAATACCCAGGTTTATGACACTATCTAATCTTATTCCCACAATGTAGGTCAGCCTGCAAACATCAGCCAGGAACTGCCTTCAACATTTGGGGCATATCTCAGCATGTACCTTCATAGTAAACCATGCAAGATTGCATTTTCAATGCCTCCAACAGTGACTCAACCATCTACTTTCCAAACAAACAGTCTGGACAAACAGGTCTCAGTTCCACAATTCATAAAGGACTCCCTTGATTTGTGGAAAGATACTCCCACCCCCTACAATGTCTGTGCAGGATTTTTCTTTACCTAGCCACCTCCAACTGTTGTAATAACAGATGCATCTCTTTTGGGATAGGGAGTACACCTAG